GCTGCTCCACCCAGGAATGATCATATTAATCTTACATTACTTACAATACAAAAATACTGTACACAGCGCTGGTTTGAAAATCTGTGAGCAGCTCGCTCTGCGCCCGCCTCTGCACGCGCCTCTGCACGCGCCTCTGCACGCGCACACCCGTCCTGTGTTTTCAGCCTGAATCAAAGGTTTGCGTATAAATACGAAAAATGTCCCACACCACCTGTAGTCATGTGACAGCTGCAATTATTCCATTAAAACAATAAATACCCGAAACAAAACGACCAAAATATACAGAGAAAAATTCATTTCTCATCCCTGACAGCTTTGTTTGATCCTCTGATTACCCACAATCCCCTTCAGCGAGCGACTGAGGCGTGCCTGTTTAGAAAGAAGAAATAAGGAAGTGAAACTATGCTTTATGGATTAGTATTTAAGTTTTATCTGTCGCAGGTCGACGTTGAGCTGCAGTTCAGAGCTGGATTTTTAAACGATGTCAGATCAACAAATGTTTGCACTTCAGGACGAATCGAAACTCGGAGGGGAGAAACAAACTTCAGAGGATGGCGTTTTTACAGGCGCTTATAATAAAAAAATCATTGCATTAATGTCAAAGTCAGTCTGATCATCGTTAGTTAAATCAGATTCAGCATGAACTCGCTGTGAAATCAACAACGTAAAGAAAGACTGGCCTGTTTTAGAGACTCGGATCAAAGCTGCCGCTGTAATCAGTGCATCTCCGAATACTTTACAGCAAACACAAAAGGTCGTCGCAGGTTTGAGCTGCTCGCGAATCAAGGCTTTAACTGAAACCTCTGTGCTCTTATTTCCTAAACATGTCTTAGCGAGATGACTTTTAACTTTTATCATTTAATTTCTGCCTCAAACATTTGCTACGAGAAACTGGCTTTTCGAACTCGCTCAGCTTGAATAATTGTAAAAACTTTGAATGTGGAAAAAGCAACAACGTGAACGTGAACTCGTCTGCTCTCAGCGCGGCCTCTTCAGTCAGCTGACGCGTGAGCGTCTGCGAGGTTTACCCCAGATAAACGAATGCTGGTGGGCACGTTCGCCGGCGCCCGTCGGCGTCATGTTTGTTGATGTAAAGAGGGGAAAAAAAACATGAACTGGAATGACCTCTGTTAGTGGTAAATCTCGCAGATGTTCGCATGACCACAGAAATAAAACAGATGTGTGAAACTAATGCTGGTATTTTAAATCGGCCCTCTAATGACCACCAGGGGGCGACTTCTGTTTGTATGGAGGAACAACGACCCTCGCTCTCTGTGACCTCACTAAACGCTGCTCGATGAGTCGCCGTTTAAGCCTCATGATTATAATGAGACTGTCTGTCTTTTATATACAGTTTAAGGAAAAAGTCAGCTGACTGCAGAACTGCTGCTGATTGGCCAAAGAGTCTTCCGAATGCGCGCTAATCTGGAGTTTGGTCTTCCCAACCTGGACGAGCATCAGACATCCAGAAAAATTCAAATGATTTTAATTAAACAGCTTTTCAAACGTTTGAATGTCAGATTACAAAAACTGAGTCAAGAGGAGATGAACTTAGAAATGTGAACAGTCAGAGCTTAAATGAGTTCAGTTCCTCCCTGAAGCAGGAAGCAGGCTGCTTCTCTGTATTCAGGTGTGAGTTTAAGCTCCGCCCTCCAGCAAACGTCACCTTCAGTCTTTGTGCACCAAACTACCTGAGTGTCGAGAGTTCACGGTGAAGGAGGAGGAGGAGCTGCGAGCTCCGCCTGCTGATGTGCTTTTTCCTGCTTTTGGTAACTTGGAATGAAGAGACGCCGTTAGAGGAAGTTCAAGTGTCGTCACCATAAAATTAATAAAATAAATAGACTGAGAATTCTAAAAAAATAAAGAAAAAACCAAAGAAAAGGCTGCTCTGATGGAGAAA